GGGCTGTGCCACTCATTAGTTGCGCACCCCCCCCGCGCTGACGAGGTCGTGCACCTTGCTTCCGAGGAGAGCCGAGCCGAACCTCTTGCGTCCTGCTCCTCGTCCCTCATCTGTCTGACTCCCTCACCACCGTCTTCCTTTCCCTCCTCATCGTCCTCATCCTATTTGTCCTCCTTCTCCTCCTCCTCCTCCTCTTCCTCCTCCTCCTCCTTCTCCTCCTCTCCCTCCTCCCTGCTTGCTCCTCATCCGTTCCCTACTCTTCCCGGCTTGCTCCTCATCCGTTCCCTACTCTTCCCCCTCGCCTCCGAGGAGAAGGGAAGAGGGGTAGGAGGAGGAGGAAGAGGAGGAGGAGGAGGAAGAGGAGGAGGAGAAGAAGAAGTGAGCAAGACGAGAGAGAGGGAGAATGAGGCGAAGGAGGAGGAGGAGAAGGATGAGGACCAGAGTAAATCATCCCTTCCTCATGGACCTCTTCACGCACAAGAATGCATGTCTGGCCATCAAGTGTGAAGAGGTCTTCAGCGAAAGCCCAATTACGAAAAGGAGCCATCCTCCCATCAATGTAATTGCTGCACAGATTAAGCTTCTGGCCAAAAACTCAAGGAGGTCTCAAGCGAGAACACCATTCCGAAAAGCGTCCGCCTTCATCCATGCAATTGCTGGAAACTGTTTAAAACGAATGTGCGCGGCGTCTTGGTGGGAACGACGCGTTGATAGCAAGTCTCCAACCGCCCGTGTAACTGCTGCAAGCGATCGAGATGAATGCGTGCGGTATAAACGCGAGAGTCTCCTTTTGCAAACTACTCACCCTTCATCCATGCCACGATTGGTACGGTCGGGAAGGTTTGCTTAGCGTGTCCCTGTGCTGGCTCCGGCCCACCACGCCTCGGCGCGACACGCTAAGCGCGTCCAGATCCCCGAGCATGAACGGTCCGAGCTTTTCCCAGCCTCCCGCCCCGCAGAGTGGAGAGACACGCCATCCACTTGCAAGAGCGTGTCGCCGAGGCCGCCGCCGCCGCCGCGAAACCCTCAGCAGAAGTTCCTGACCGTAACTGTGTTGAAGCTTGCAAACTTCAGTATTACAAACGGCGCGTCGGACCAAGGATTTCGGCTCCTCGTCCCCAGGATGGCTCCGAACCGTTGTGTGTAGCTCGGCCCGTCTGGTCTTGCATCTTACTCCACCTGTTCCTTCCTTCTCCACCTCCCCATCTGCCTCCCTCCTCCTCCCGGCCCCGCTTTTTTCCCTGCCTCCTCCTGCCTCTCAAATTCCCTTCCGTTCCTGATCTCCTCCTCATCCTCCTCACCCGCTCCCATCCCCGCCGCGGCCGCCGCCGCCGCCGACGACGACGACGACGCCGACGACGACCGCGACAACGACGTCGCCGCCGCCAGCCGACACCGACGCCGACGCCGACGCCGACCCAGAGATCCGGTTTTTTGTTTTTCGACACGGGGCCGCCAGAGGTCCTCATCCTCTCCCTGGAGACAGCTTCTCATCCTGAGTCGTTGGTTTTTGTCCAGCATCGGGACCGGGCCCACAGAGGCCAAAACGGCGAACAAATGCCCGCACTGATTTTTATCAATGTGTGGGAGGTCCAGTTTTTCGGGCCGTAACTCGGGCCTCCGGCGGCCGTTCGGAACGATCTGGGCACCCTTAGAACGCCTTCGCCTTCAGCGAGGCGCAGCTTGGCCAGCAGCCCGAGGCGAGAAAACCTCCACCAGCCTGCGAGAGCTTACGAGAGGTGCGACGCCAACGGCGCCGCCGCAGACTGCGCAGCCGCTGGTGCCGCAGACCTACACATTTGTTGCAATCCAGGGCCCCAGAGGTCCCAGAGGAGGAGGAGCAGCAGGAGGAGGAGGAGGAGGAGACCCCTTTCCCCCGGGGGTAGTGTTCCCGTCCCTTCTTGGTGGCCCCAGGGCCCAGTGACGGGCCCCAAAGAGGCCAAAAAATGTACAAAAAAGCGACGGGATTCCTTGAGGTCCGACGCTGCTAAACAAAGTACAGCGTCGCGTTCGGCCTTTCATGCAAAGGTGGCTGCCTTGGACATGGCGCTTGAAGTTATGTGCAGTGTGTGAATGCATGATGGCGCAAGTTAGTCTATCAGTTTGTTAGTTTCACGGTTCTTTCAAAGCAGCCCGACGAGGGGCGGACATACGCGACATAAAAAAAGCACAGCGTCGCGAGAGGTCCAGGCCAGGGCTCCGGACACCATCCTTCTGCACCGTTTTTTAATGGAGCTGGGTCGATCTGCCAGGGCCCCCGGGGCCCGAAGATTGCCGGGCCGGAGCCTCGGGCATCGTCGGAGAGCTTGCGGTCGGACACCGAGGCCTAAGATCGAGGTCGGTTCGGGGAGGGTGCCCTGCGTAGTGTTCTTCGTGTATGCTGGATGTTCTTGTGAGAAGCGGCGTGCACATCACCACTGAGAAGCGGCGACTTTACACACCGCCCCCTCCCCGAGGGTAAATGCAAAGTTCGTCGGAGGGTGTCCGTGTACATGTATTCCTATTCATATATTCTTATGCGGCCGGGGACCCCGGAAAAGGCCCACCACCACGCCCGCCCCCCCCCCCCTCCCGAACGAATTTTGCACTTTTTGGGCTGGCCAGACGCCCTCCCTGGCACCAGGGGGCGGTCTAGCAATCCCTGCCGAGGCGTGCACACAGGCGGGTGGTGGCAGTCCCAAGACGGTCGACGCAAGGCCCATGAGACGCCCAAGGCGGTCGAAGATGGTTTTGCATTGCCCTTGACCCCCGCCAGACGCCCGAAGACGGCGCGAGTGTCACCCCCACGAGGCGTTCGACACGAAAAAAAATATTGATTTTGCATTGTTTCCGTTTGATGTTCGGATATTCGCTCACTCGGGCCTCCAAGCGTCCGAGAACGCTGGAGAACCATTGAAGTCCGCTGCGAGACGGCGCAGGCGGGCCTCCAGACACCCCAACACGGTCACATGAGGGCCCAAGACGGCCGCCAAATTGCCCACATGCGGCCCCATGACTGGCCCAAAATGATTGCAAAACAACTGGCACAAGGCCCAAGAGACTCCCAAAACGATCGAAGACGGCATCAAGCGGCCCAGACCACCGCTGGACGCCCGAAGACGGCCCGAATGTCACCTGGAAGAGGCGCTCGAAATTTGGAAAAACATTGATGTTCATTGTTTCTCGTATGATTTTCGGATACTCGCTCACTCGGGCCTCCAAGCGTCCGAGAACGCTGGAAAGGTACCGGAAAGCGCTTCAAGACGAGCCAAACGCGCTTCCTGTCACCCCAACACGGTCACATGAGGGCCCAAGACGGCCTCAAAATTGCCCACAGGCGGCCCCATGATTGGCCCAAAATGATTGCAAACAACCGGCACAAGGCCCAAGAGACTCCCTAAACGATCGACGATGGCAACGAGCGGCCCAGACCCCCGCTGGACGCCCGAAGACGGCCCGAATGTCAGGTGGAAGAGGCGCTCGAAATTTGGAAAAGCATTGATTTCTCAATGGTTTAATGTTCGGATGCTCGCTCATTCAGGCTTCAAGCGTCCGAGATCGACGGAAAAACACCGGAAACCGCTCCAAGACAAGCCAGACAGGCTTGCCGACAGCCCAAGAGGGCCCCATGAGGGCCCAAGACAGCCCCAAAACTGCTCACGGGCGGCCTCAACACGGCCCCAAATTGTCTTCAAGACAACTTCCCCAAGAATGCAACACGTGATCTAGAACAACGACTCCTGGCATGCAACACGTGATGCAACAAGAACACGTGATCTAAAAAAAAGTCTTGGAGGTATTCTTTGACTATTTTTGATTTTTCGTCTAAAATCAGCCTGTAGGGGGACAGGCCCGACTTAAGACTAGGGGGGGGGGATATCATGGCGTGGGCTATGGTATTTCCCCAGGTTTCATGGCGCGTCTTCTTATTTCATTGCCTCCCTGCCCCCCCCCTCCCTGGGCCGCGCACATGCCGCCGGCCATGATTTGCACCCCCCCCTTCTCTTGGACGCCCCCCCCTTGGCCGCCCCCGAAACGCTGGGATCTCGGGGATCGCCGGAGGCCCGGGCCGGACGATGTTGAGCCGCCGTTGGCGTCAGCCATTGGCCCTTGCCGTGCCGCAGGGGCCTCCTCGCGCGCAGCGGCGGGCGGTCGCGCGCCAGCGCGCGCGCGCATCGTCAGGGTCGTCGTCGCGTTGATCGTCGTCGCCGCTGTCTTGGAAGGAGCGTCTTGGTGGCTGGCGCGATGGTGGTTATTGTTGCCTTGCTTCCGCAGGTAGAAGCTGCCCAAACAGACCTAGCCATTTCGTTATCTACATGATGGTTGGCTGGTTGCGCAGGCGGTCTGCTCAGAATCCCCGTCCCGCTAGCCACCAGTTGAATTTACATAACAATAATGATTTAGTTTGGGGGTCATATTTTGATGATTCGGATTGTTTTTTGCATTTTGGTTCAACCACCGACGCCCCAGCCACCATTTCGGAAATTCGAATTGTCGCCATCCTCGTCGTCTTCGTTGTCGCGTTTGTAGTCGTCGTTGTCGTTGTCGCCGTCTTCGCCGCATTTATTATCGTTATCGTCGCGCTTCTCGTTATCGTTAGGGTCGTCGTCACAGTTATCGCTATCGCCGTTGTTCGGCTGGGGCTCGGACGAGGACGAATCATTCGACGAATCCGCTCCAGAGCGCTCCGGAACGCTCTCAGATCGTTCTGGAACGCTTTGAGAAGGCCATGGCGCCCGAGAAGTCCTCCAGAACCACAGGATCTCAGAGATTCTCGACTCATCCTCACCCGAGTTATCCTTGTCCTGACTTCGTCTCCCTCGAGTCAAGGGAGAAAAAACACCCGGACTGGACAATTGGCGTTTGCCAAACGGCCCTGGGCATTTACGAAACAGCCCTGCCCTGTTCGATTCCTTCTTTGGGCGCGTTCGCTAAACGATTTCGCGTGTCGGGGTGGTGATTTTGCTGGGGGGAGTGGATCTCCTGGCTCCCGTCGAGGCCTCCGCGCGCGCGGCGGCGAGCGGCCCGCTGGCGCGGCGCCGCTCGGCGGGCAGCTCCGCCGCGGGCTCGGCGGGCAGCCTCCGGCGCCGGGCGGCGCCGCGCCCGTCGGCCAGCGCCAGCGGCAGGCGAAGGACGCCGCCGCCGCGCGGCGGGCTGCCGCTCCTCGGTCGATCGATCGGTTTTGAGAAGCGGGTATTTGGGATCGCTCGGTCGCAAGATTGAGATATTTGCTTTTTTGCATAAAGTATTTCAATCTTGCCATGCTTGCCAAGACTTCCATTCAATCCGGGCGGGGCCTCGCCCGAAATAGGAAAAGAAAATTGGATCCATCGGTCGATCGATTCTGGATCGATCGAGTCTCAATCGATCGATCGGTTTCGGTTGCTCGATCGATGAATTCTCGATCGATCGATGGCTCGATCGATCGCTCGATCGAGGCGCCGGAGGACGCGCGGGCCACTGCCGCGCGGCGGGCCGCCTGGGGGCGAGGCGGACGATCCTCGATCGATCGGTCGGCTCTCGAGCGGTCGAAGCGCGGGCCGCCGCGGGACGAGGGCAGGAGGAGGAGCAGGAGGAGGGGGGGGAGGATCCGGGCGCTGCATTTTTTCACGCCGGGCGTGCACGCGCGGCTTCAAGCCCGGGACCATTCCGATCGATCCGGCCCGAGAAATGTTACAGGAAGATGGGATTTGGGGCTCCAGCCGCGATTTTTGTCGCGACGTTGCAATTTTTGTTCGCAGCGTCGGCCAGGGAGGGCGGAGAATTGTCGGACGGACCCAGACCCCTTCAAGTCGTGAGGAATCACGACGTCATTTGTTTTACGTCTTTTTTAGCCTCTGGGTGCCTTCCCCAGGCCCCAGGGCCGTCAACAAAATCGACTCGGGATGAACATCTGAGCCACGCCAATGACGGGGTCGTCTTCGCCGACATTGGCGCTTCGGCTACCCGCGGAAGGTCGCGCGCAAGCGCCCTCGCTTCAGCGTAACGTGCCGTGCTGTCGGCCCGCGTAAGCCACCGCGTAAGGTCGCCATGCCATCTTGCGTAAGACCCATGCTTTTCGTCGCCCAAATATCGGCGGCGCGCCCAAGGGGGGGCAGGCAGAGGAGGCGGGCCTTCGCAGCAGGCTCCGAAGACCTCCAGACTTCAGAGAAGGCCACAGAGGTCTTCTCAGAAGTACCGCCGCCTTCTGAGAAGGCCTGCCCCCTCTCACACACCCCTCAGCGCGGCACCGAAATTTGCCAGCTGGGGGTAGCAGTGTCCTTTCGCCTTCCGTTAGCCGCTCCTTTCGGCGTGCATTGCCAGACATCCTTTTGCTCGTACATTTCCTTCTGCCCGTGTCATCATGCGTAGGACCCGTTTTTGAACGTCGCCCATCTGGGTCTGGGGAAAGGGTCGAGACTTCTGGGGACATCGAAAAAAAAACAGTACATCGGATCTCTGGGTCGGCTGCGGCGGCCACGGCCGCGGCGTCGTCGTCGGCAGGCGGTGGCGGCGTCATTGTCGCGGTCGTCGTCGGTGTCGTCGTCTTCCGCGCCGCCGTCGTCGGCGGCGGAGAGTGGAGGCGGGCGGGTGAGGACGAGGACGACGATCTCAAGGTCTGCGCCCACTTCCCAAGGGCCACTTCGGCGGGAAAATCCGAAAACCCTACCATCGCCGATCCACGACTCAGGCAGGTCGATGGGCAGCGGGTATCGGGTTCGAAGTTCGTCGAGCTCGTGGCGAAGTCCGAGCCCTCACCCCCGCCTCCCATCGACCCAGGAGAATCGACGGTTGGTGGGGGTAATTACGGTTCGGACGTCGCCACAGTAAAGGCTCGCCCCTCCTCCAGATCCAGGCGACGCGATCAAATCTGAGTCGGGCCTGTCCCCCTCTACAGGAGGAATACCCAAAAATAGTCAATTACCCTGCGACGTACCCAACCCACGTGCATCAAATGGCAAGAGGAGTATGCCAACATTAGCAGGAACAACGACAGTGTAGACGCGGCGATTTGCTGTGCAAGCTACATGGGATGCGCATGCGTTGCACGATTCACAGGACGACGATCGAAAGAACGAGGCTTGAGGCCCCAGGATCGAAGAAGAACGGGCACGGGAACGAGGGGTAGGAGAGGGATGGAATGGAGGGCGGGGGGGGCGAAAGGCCATCGCGGAAGCAGCAGCATGCATGGAGAAGGCGAGGCGGGGAAAAAGACGACGATGAAAGTGGCGGGAGGAGACAGAAGACTGCCGCGTTTTTCAAGCGCGAGCTAAACCCGTAGCGCTGCCTGCGCCACGTCGTCGCAGAGTTCCACATGATAAAACTTGTTTAGGGTGCAAGGAACGAGCGAGGCGTAGCTCGCCCGCTAGCTTCTCCGCCTCCTTCCCGCACATTTCAGCGCGGGAGCTGAACGCTCGCAGGCGCGCCGCCAGGTCTGCGGGCGGCCCGCGGGAAAGAAACTCAAGGCCGGGGTCGCGTATCATCAATCGGTTGTCCATCGTCCAAAGTTGCACTGGCGACGTACTGGTTGAACGCGGAGCGAGCAGCATCACGCGCGTGCCTGAACGCCACGCAGGTACAGTGCACGCGCGATTGGGACTTCAGGTCGATCACGCGCGTCTCCACCAGGCTTGGCAACACCACGCGACTGAGGATCTCACTGCGGTCTGCCATGCTGCTGTCCGCGAATGCAATGCGCTGCCTGCAAGTAAGGCGGCGGCGTCCACTTGTCTCAGAAGATGTTCCCGCGGGCCCGAAGGGCGACCGCCAGCTCGAGCCGCGGCGCCGGCAGGCCAGATAAGGATCATGCAACAGCAAAGACGATGACAGAGCAACGAGGTATCGGCGAGTGCATGACCGGCCTCCATTTCCTGCACTTCTTTCCTGTAGTTCCCCTAGCTCATCGAGCTCAGCAGATGTTTCTGCGGGTCCGAAGGACGACCGCCAGCTCGAGTCGCAGCGCCACGCGGCACGAACCGCAGAGCAAGGGCACGCGAGCATTGCTCGTGAATATCTGAGTCCCCGCGGTGCCTCACTCCGCTGGCCACCCACCAGCAGCCCTCGAAAGTGGCGACAGTTTCACAGATCGCAGCCGCCCAGGGGCGGCGAGGTCTAATCTGAGTCCCCGTGGTGCCTCACTCCGCTGGACCCACCAGCAGCCCTCGAAAGTGGCGACAGCTTCACACAGGGATGGCGAGGTCTAATCTGAGTCCCCGTGGTGCCTCACTCCGCTGGACCCACCAGCAGCCCTCGAAAGTGGCGACAGTTTCACAGATCGCAGCCCCCCAGTGATGGCGAGGTCTAATCTGAGTCCCCGCGGTGCCTCACTCCGCTGGCCACCCACCAGCAGCCCTCGAAAGTGGCGACAGTTTCACAGATCGCAGCCGCCCAGGGGCGGCGAGGTCTAATCTGAGTCCCCGTGGTGCCTCACTCCGCTGACCCACCCAGCAGCCCTCGAAGTGGCGACAGCTTCACACAGGGATGGCGAGGTCTAATCTGAGTCCCCGTGGTGCCTCACTCCGCTGGACCCACCAGCAGCCCTCGAAAGTGGCGACAGCTTTCACATATCGCAGCCCCCCAGAGATGGCGAGGTCTAATCTGAGTCCCCGCGGTGCCTCACTCCGCTGGACCCACCACAGCCCTCGAAAGTGATGACAGTTTCACAGATCGCAGCCCCCCAGAGATGGCGAGGTCTAATCTGAGTCCCCGTGGTGCCTCACTCCGCTGGACCCACCAGCAGCCCTCGAAAGTGGTGACAGTTTCACAGATCGCAGCCCCCCCCCCAGAGATGGCGAGGTCTAATCTGAGTCCCCGTGGTGCCTCACTCCGCTGGACCCACCAGCAGCCCTCGAAAGTGGCGACAGTTTCACAGATCGCAGCCCCCCCCCCCAGGGATGGCGAGGTCTAATCTGAGTCCCCGTGGTGCCTCACTCCGCTGGACCCACCAGCAGCCCTCGAAAGTGGTGACAGTTCCGCAGATCGCAGCCCGCCAGGGATGACGTGAAAGGCAAGAGAAGAGAAGAGGAGGAGCGAAGAGAGGCGGAGAAGGGAAGCAAGAGAGGAGAGGAAGAGGGAAGAGAGGAGGAGGAGGCGGGAAGGAAGGAAGGAAGGTGGAGACCGCAGTGCTCTATTCAAAACGAGTACCCAACGCAGGATGGTTGGGAAAAAAAATAGTCTGGGGACGATTGTTTGATTATTCCCAACCCTCCTGCGTTGGGTACTCGTTTTGAATAGAGCACTGCGGTCTCCACCTTCCTTCCTTCCTTCCCGCCTCCTCCTCCTCTCTTCCCTCTTCCTCTCCTCTCTTGCTTCCCTTCTCCGCCTCTCTTCGCTCCTCTTCTCTTCTCTTCTCTTCTCTTCTCTTCTCTTCTCTTCTCTTGCCTTTTACGTCATCTCTGGGGGGCTGCGATCTGCGGAACTGTCACCACTTTCGAGGGCTGCTGGTGGGTCCAGCGGAGTGAGGCACCACGGGGACTCAGATTAGACCTCGCCATCCCTGGGGGGGGGGGCTGCGATCTGTGAAACTGTCGCCACTTTCGAGGGCTGCTGGTGGGTCCAGCGGAGTGAGGCACCACGGGGACTCAGATTAGACCTCGCCATCCCTGGGGGGGGCTGCGATCTGTGAAACTGTCACCACTTTCGAGGGCTGCTGGTGGGTCCAGCGGAGTGAGGCACCACGGGGACTCAGATTAGACCTCGCCATCTCTGGGGGGCTGCGATCTGTGAAACTGTCGCCACTTTCGAGGGCTGCTGGTGGGTCCAGCGGAGTGAGGCACCACGGGGACTCAGATTAGACCTCGCCATCTCTGGGGGGCTGCGATCTGTGAAACTGTCGCCACTTTCGAGGGTTGCTGGTGGGTCCAGCGGAGTGAGGCACCACGGGGACTCAGATTAGACCTCGCCATCCCTGTGTGAAACTGTCGCCACTTTCGAGGCTGCTGGTGGGTCCAGCGGAGTGAGGCACCACGGGGACTCAGATTAGACCTCGCCACCCCTGGGCGGCTGCGATCTGTGAAACTGTCGCCACTTTCGAGGGCTGCTGGTGGGTGGCCAGCGGAGTGAGGCACCACGGGGACTCAGATTCTGACCACGAGCAATGCTCGCGTGCCCTTGCTCTGCGGTTCGTGCCACGTGGCGCTGCGACTCGAGCTGGCGG